GAAGAAATGAATAAGGCAAGGTGTGGTTTGGAGAGGCAGGGAGCTTCCATGCCCTCATAAGCATGCTGCTCTCCCAGCACTTTGATGTGTTCAAGAACCCAGGAACTTACTGAATCCCATTGTTTAGTAAGTTTAGTAAGGTTTTTATGGAGGTTTCATTACATAGGCATGATTGACTAAATCATTGGCCATTGGTGATAGAACTCAATCTCTAGCACCGTTCCCAGGAGGTCAAGGGGTAGGGCTGAAAGTTCCATTCTTTTAATCAAGGCTTGGTCTTTCTGGTTACCAGCCCCTGACCTGAAAGGCTATCTAGGTCCTCTTACCACTAGAGTCACCTTAGCATAAACTCAAGTATGATTGATTGGGGCTTATTATGAATAACAAAAGATGCTCCTATTACTCAGGAAATTCCAAGGATGTTTGGAGTTTTATTCCAGGAATGATGGACAAAGACCAGATATGTATTTTTATTATTTCACATTTGAATATTCTGAATAGTTTGCATTATTATAATGTTTTTAAAAAACTAGAAAAACTCAACAAGAGCATTGGTATTAAAATGATGAAATAATATATAGCCATTAAAGTTGTTGTGTATATGTATATACATATATATATATAGAGAGAGAGAGAGAGAGAATTTTTATAAACAGTTTTGAACTTGATTAGCAATTTCAGCAGTTTCCAAATGGATGTATTTGTTGGTAACAAATCTACCAGCAGGAGAAGAGAATTATACAAAGCTGCCAACACAGTACAGGCAGTCTACAATTTATGAAAGAGTTGTGTTCTAAAAGTTGGCTGTTTGAAATTCTGAACACTTTCCCAATGAAACAACGTTATAAATACTCTGGGCCCAAGTCAGGCTAGAACAGCCTTAATTCCTATGGAATTCTTGGAATACATGTAGTATCCACACTTCTATTTATGATAGTTTTGAGTCAACTGCATCTTCAGTTTCAGCTAGAACCATCTAAAACTATCTTCCTTCAGTAGAGTTGGGAATTTGGAGAATATTTTAAGCATAGCGTAGCTTCAGATGTTAGTTAAACTTCTGACCAATGGCAACCTGTTAACTTAATCTTCAGAAAAAAAGATAGATTTCTACACCTGCCCTTAACTCCAAGATGATAGTATGGAAATAAGATTTCCTTCAGAAGTTAAGAACTGCTTGTGATTGTCTTTTTTATTTATATTTTTAATCCTAAAAGCAATACATATTCGTTTGAAAATAATTAAAAGTAGAGGTAGTATCCTCCACGTACTGTTAAATTATTTAGAAAATTGTGTTTTGTGTACACATATAACACAGATAAAACAAGTATGGCTAAAAAGCAACATAATTGGTAAATAAAGATGAAGGTTCGTTAGATTGTTCATATTCTTTCAACTTTCTTTAAGTTTGAAAATTTCAAAACAAAAATATGGAGATTTTTTAAAAGTAGCAGGAATATTTGCTTATCTTCAATCCCCAACCTCATTCTCCTCTCCAGAGTTCTCTGCTAGCAGTACATAGAGTTTTTCGAGAATCTTTTCAAGCATGTTTTTTAAATCCGTTTACAGAAAGTATTTTTTTTCCACAGACGGAATCTCCGTTTACATAGAATTATACTACTGTAACCAGACAAGGAGTTTTGTCCCAGACCCCAAGAGCAGGTTCTTGGCTGTCATACAGAAAGAATTCAGGGCAAGTCACAGAGTAGAGCAAAGTTAAAACAGTTTATTACAGAGTAGGGCATCCTCAAAGAGCAACAGGAGAGCACACCCATTTCAAATATAATGCTAATATTGGTTATTAAGAGAAGTGTACCTCATTACAGAGGCTTGTGATCAGCTTGTGACAGGCTGTTAGTATTCTTACTTTCTTACGTTACTGTTGATTTTAGCAAGAATTTATGAGTGTATTACTATTTTTGAAGCAAAACCTGTTCTTAGAATACTTTTTATTAAAGTACTGGGACATTTCCAATAGTCCTGGGTCTTTAGTTAGTTAACATTATTAACTTGTTCCCTCAAGCATAAACATCTCATGACCAAGAGTGCTCAGCCCCCTGGGAACATAACGAAGCAGGTTTGGCTTTATCAAGCCTTTATTCAAGATTGAGTCACTCTGGTTAGGATGCCTCTCACACTATTTACTGATACTCTACTTGCTTTTAAAATTTAACAGTATGTATTAGTTTTCTCTTGCAGCTGAAAAATTACCACAAATGTAATGCCTTAAAACTATACAAATTAATTCAAGTTCTGAGTTCAGAATTCCAAAATGGGTTTCACTGGGCTAAAATCAAGGTGTTGGCTGGCTCCGTTTCTTCTGGAAGCTCCAGAAGAGACTTGATTTTCTTGCTGTTTCCACCTCCTAAAGGTCTCCTGTGGCCCTTCTCTCTTTAAAGCCAATAGCATAGCATCTTCAAATATCTCTTTCACTGATTCTTCTGCCTCTCTTATAAGTACTCTGTGATTACACTTGACCCACCTGGATAATCCCTAGCTCAAGATCCTTAATCATATCTTCAAAGTCCCTTTTGCCAAGTAAGGTAAAAAATTGACAGAGTCCGGGGACTAGGATATAGACATCTTTGGAAGGCCATCATGTCGCCCACCATACAGGATATTGTGGCTGTCTTGCTTTATCATTATATATGAATCTGACATTCTTTTTAACAACTGGAAAAAACTGATATAAAACTTATGTAACCCCTCATGTGATGAATATTTAGGTTTCCCTTTTATGCTGAAATAAACTGCTGTGAATATTTTTCTATATGTGAATATATGAGAGTATCTGTGGGATAAATTTCTAAAACTGAAATTGCTCAGTCAAAGGTGATAGAAGAAAAATGTTGGCACATTAAGATTTTAAGAGTTTATGTGGCAGCTCTAAACCAGAAGTGGTTGAGGCTCTACTGAAGGAGCCTGAGGGGAAGGCCTTTATAGGGTGAATGTAGAATTAGAGCAAATAAATTATTTGATTAAAGTTTGAGCAGTTGGCTTATTTGGACTATGCCTGTGAGAAGTTCAAGAAAATGTAATGCTCAGTTGGCTGCCTATGATTGGCTGAGCTAAGCTTGGTGATCTTTTAAATTCAGTTTTGGTTGCTTAAGTAGAATCCTGAGCCTTACAGCCACCTCAGTCTAAGGGCCTCCCATTGTGTTATTTTAATAAAGGGTAAATGTGGTGGTAATACAGCCCGGTTACCCTCCAAACTGTTGTACCAGTGTACTGTATGTTCCCACAGCCAAGCCTATTTCTCTGCTCTCGTCAAAATATTCAGTCTTTTTAATGTTTTTTAATAGATGTATAAAAATTATATTAATTCAAATTGCATTTCCATGATTTAAAATGAGATTAAGCATTGTCGTACTACTTTTATTAGAATTTTCTATATTAAACTTTTTGGACCCAAAAGAGATACATATTTCATGATGCATCATGAGAATTGGGGTATAAAATGCTTATGTTTATTTAAAACCATGTTTATTCCATACAAAATTTATTTTAAATAAATATACATAAAAATTTAATGGTTTTCAAAAAGATTGTTTAGTGATAATTACCAGACCTCCTCATGATAAATACTATATATGGAACTTTGGTATTGATTACATAAAATATGATCATTTATTTTCTTGCTTTTATTTTTGGTGTTAAAACATAATTCTGAATTGGTAACGTTTTTAACTCTAAAATTGCCAACGTCGTAACATCAGCTTTTGAGTTTGTGTCTATCTTACCTCATTGTCGAATCCTGCCTTCCCTCACACTTTTAGAAAATTGTCCAATAAAGCAAACTAGGATAAAACCTATATGATTAATGTATAGAGAAGATACAGAGAAATGTAATTGGGGATTTTTTATGCCCCATCTTCAGTTGTAATTAGAGATTATTTATGCCTCACCTTCATTTATTTATTTATTTTTGAGACTGAGTCTCACTCTTCTTGCCCAGGCTGGAGTGCAGTGACGCAATCTCTGCTCACTGCAGCCTCTGCCTCCTGGGTTCAAGTGATTCTCCTGTCTCAGCCTCACAAGTAGCTGGGATTATAGGCTCATGCCACCACACCTGGCTAATTTTTGTATTTTTAGTAGGGATGGGGTTTCACCATCTTGGCCAGGCTGGTCTTGAACTCCTGGCCTCAGATGATCCACCCACCTCGGCCTCCCAAAGTTCTGGAAATTCAGGCATGAGCCACCATGCCCAGCCTATTTTTCAGTTGACTTTAAATGATTGAGCTCTGAAAGAAAAGTTTCACTCCTTAATCTAAACCTTTAAAGAGTTCTTCTAAATGGAAAACATTGATTGCTTCTGGAGATGGGAGCAGGGACTGGGTAACTGGATGGTGATATCAAGGGTGAGAGGCAGTCTTTTTACTCTACAGTCCTTTTTTTTTTTTTTTTTTTGTATTTTTAAACATTTTAAATATGGAATTGGATCACCTGTTAGAAATAATCATGAATCTTAAATTCAGTGGACCAAAAAAATTTTAATAATCATTTTTAAAGCCCTTTTACCGTTGGCTCTCCTGTGATTCAGGCGGCAGCTTGATTTCATTGAAATGTGGAAAGATGAGTCATCATATTTTTTCATATTAAAGGATGGTTCTAAAATTGATTCTTGGCTCAACTTGGGGGCTCCTCTTTTAGACCTCTACTGTTGGTTTTCCTTAGGGCCCTATGGCTTCAGTTACCATCTTACTGAGAACAACTCCCAAATCTCAATCTGTAATGCAATCACCAGCCCCACTACCCTTTATGGACATTAAAGTTTGACAGCCATTAAATCAGAAAGTGGAGAAAGGCTTATAAACTTTTCCTCCTTTTACTGCTTTTTTCTTTTTCCTCTTCCATGCCATAGGTTTGCTGGTGGTATGAAATAACATTATACAGTGTGGCTTATCCCAACTTCCGTCATTCAGAGTTTAAAAACATTTTTACCTGTCAGAATAAAATGCTTCTTTGATCAACCACGTTTTGGCTAATATTCTTTACTATTTTAGGTTGAATTCTCTTACCCGCCCCTGATTCCAGGAGACGGACATGACAGCCACACTTTACCTGAAGAATGGAAGTATTTGCCCTTCCTTGCCTTACCAGATGGTGCACACAACTACCAGGAAGGTATGTAACAAGACAGTGAAGCAGTTAGGTGCCATTTTTGAAAATATTTGCCAAGATATCTTAGGTTCTAAATACTTTGAGAAATTAAAGCCCTTCAGCCTATTAAAACTATAAAATATTTACATGCTTGTTTAGAGATGACTAGTCATTCACTGGAACACCTCTAAAGGAGTGCCAGGCTTACACTGTCCTTGGCTGGTGAACCTTGGCCAGCCTTCTACCAAGTGATTAGCCAGAGCAGGACAGCCACTACTGGGAGCAGTTCCTCCGACATCTACACTTCAGACTCCTAAGAGTCAAACCAGGGGGCTTACCAGCGCATTGCCTGGGACTCTAGCTGCATACTTGCAGTACTAGTTAGTACTCCAGGGCCTACCTAGAAACAGCTCAGATTGTTTTGTGTCTCTGGAACCATTGCTGTCACAAGTACTCTGCTTGCAAGGTTGCTTGCTTGCTTGCATGCAGAGCATGTTAACACCGTCAAAGCAGGACTATGAAGTTCTTACCGAATCTCTTGCCACCCTATAAATGAGTACTTTGCCTAACTTAATGAAGGACTGTGTTTTACTATGGTATTTGATGCTCTACAAAAATGTTTTTGTTGTTGTTGCTTTTCTTTTCTTTTTTTTTTTTTTTTTTTTTTTTTTTTTTTTTGAGACAGAGTTTCGCTCTTGTTACCCAGGCTGGAGTGCAATGGCGCGATCTCGGCTCACCGCAACCTCCGCCTCCTGGGTTCAGGCAATTCTCCTGCCTCAGCCTCCTGAGTAGCTGGGATTACAGGCACACGCCACCATGCCCAGCTAATTTTTTGTATTTTTAGTAGAGACGGGGTTTCACCATGTTGACCAGGATGGTCTCGATCTCTTGACCTTGTGATCCACCCGCCTCGGCCTCCCAAAGTGCTGGGATTACAGGCTTGAGCCACCGCGCCCGGCTTTTCTTTTCTTTTTTGGAGACAAAGTCTCACTGGGTTGCCCAGGTTTGTCTCAAACTCCTGAGCTCAAGCAGTTCCCCCCACCAGCTCCCCAGTAGCTGGGGTGTGCCACCATGCCCAGCAAAAGGACTGCTGCAAACATGTGAATTAAGATTATAGTGAATGTTGGCCAGGTGTGGTGGCTCACTCTTGTAATCACAGCACTTTGGGAGGCTGAGGCCGGTGGATCACGAGGTCAGGAGATCGAGATCAGTCTGGCCAACATAGTAAAACCCCTTCTTTACTAAAATTACAAAAAATTAGCCAGGTATGATGGTGTGCACCTGTAATCCCAGCTCCTCTGGAGGCTGAGGCAGGAGAATCACATGAACCCAGGAGGTGGAGGTTGCAGTGAGCCAAGATCACCATTGCACTCCAGCCCAGGTGGCTGTGAGACTCCATCTCAAAAAAAAAAAAAAAAGATTACAATGAATGTTCTACAGATTTTCTCTATGTGTATGTGAATAATTTTGTCTGTAGTATCTGAAAGGTAGTTGCAAACATTGTGATACTTTTTCTCTAAGTACTTAAGATCTGAGAATGAGATTGTTTCCCAGTGTAACATCCAGTACCCTATCACAGCTAAGAGATTTAAGAATAATTTCATAATGCTATCTAATGACCAGTCTATATTCAAATTTTCTCAGTTTTCCCTCAAATTTCTTGAATTCATTCAAGTTTCATGTGTTGGTGTTGGCTTTTTTTTGAGACGGAGTTTGACTCTTGTTGCCCAGGCTGGAGTGCAATGGTGCAATCTCAGCTCACCACAAGCTCCACCTCCTGGGTTCAAGCAATTCTCCTGCCTCAGCCTCCCAAGTAGCTGGGGTTACAGGCATGTGCTACCATGCCTGGCTAATTTTTTATTTTTAGAAGAGATGGGGTTCTCCATATTGGTCAGGCTAGTCTTGAACTCTCGACCTCAGGTGATCCGCCCACCTCAGCCTTCCAAAGTGCTGGAATTATAGGCGTGAGCCACTGCACCCAGCCTGCTGTTGGCTTTTGTGACTGTCTACTTTCTCTTAATCTAGAACAGGCATCCCCAAACTTTTTACACAGGGGGCCAGTTCCCTGTCCCTCAGACCGTTGGAGAGCCATCACATACTGTGCTCCTCTCACTGACCACCAGTGAAAGAGGTGCCCCTTCCTGAAGTGCGCGGGGGGTGGGGGGGGGGCGCGGATAAATGGCCTCAGGGGGCCACATGCAGCCTGCGGGCCATAGTTTGGGGACGCTTGATCTAGAACAATAAAGATTAACTATTTTCTGTAATTGTAGTATCAGTTTGACCTGTTACAATTCAGCCTCTTGGGCTTTTTGTGATGAGTATTTACCATAAGGCAATGAGAGAAATTCTAGGAAACCAGTGGTTGTGGTCCTAGAAATAAGTATGACTTGGATTTCTTGTTTATAATTTTCATATTAATGATTGCATTATGATAACTTCATATTTTATTACTTAATAAGGGTAGTTCACCTTAGTATTTACATTTTTCTATGTATCTCTTAGATACTGTGTTTTTTCACTTGCCACCCAGAAATGGAAATGGAGCCACAGTATACGGTATCTCTTGCTATCGACAAATTGAAGCCAAGGTATGATAGTTAATGGTGAAAACAAAAAACTCCGTAGTCCTTTCTTAGATGCTGGACACTTAGAGAAACAGTCTTTATTTTTCAGTCAGTGGTGCCTATAATATTGTTTTAGATGTTTGTATACAATTTGTAGCTGTTTTTTCAATAGTACCAGTTTATTCACAGAAACATTTTAATAAGTTGACATTGGCGGCTATGCTTATATTTGTATCATAATGTTTTGTACATTGTTTTTAGATAGTGATACCTAAATTATCCATTTGTCTTTGAAATACTGTATTTATTTACATTTCAAGACTTCTGTGAATGTTCTGTTTCTAGTGTTTGGCATATAACAGAAAAATGGAGTGGTAGTGTTTGTATGTTTTTTAGTTTTTTTATTTTTAAAGACAGAGTCTTGCTATTTTGCCCAGGCTAGTTTTGAACTCCTATGCTCAAGAGATCCTCCTGCCTCAGCCTGCTGAATAGCCGGGACTGCAGGTGTGCATCACTGTGCCTGACTTTTTTTTTAAGGAGCATTTCAGAAGTAGTAGGGTATGCTTACAGGGACTCCCAACTACTCATAAGTTGTTTTAATTATCTCTAAGTTGGTTTTTTTTTTTTTTTTTTTTTTTTTTGAGGAAGAGTCTCACTCTGTTGCCCAGGCTGGAGTGCAGTAGCAAGATCTTGGCTCACTGCAGTCTTTACCTCAAGCTCAAGCTGTCCTCCAAGCTCAGATTTCCAAGTAGCTGGAATACAGGCACATGCCATCTTGCCCAGCTAGTTTTTGTATTTTTTATAGAGACCAGGTTTCTTCATGTTGCTCAGGCTGGTCTCGAACTCCTGAGCTCAAGTGATCTGCCCACCTCAGCCTCCCAGAGTGCTGGTATTACAGACATGAGCCACCACGCCCAGCCTTGATTATTTTTAAACTACCTGCCACCTTAGTGCCTGACTTACTATACTAGCTCTAATTAATAAATTCATATAAGCCAAGATGGTAACCCCACCTTTCATGATTTGCTTATTTGTAGGACTTTTTTTGTGGTAGAGATAATCTGAGTGAAAAGCTCTTTCCTCTCTAAAGGTCATTAATACTCTAAAGTAGTGAGTGGTTCTCAATCTCAGCTGCACATTGCAATCATCTGGAGAGCTTTAAAAGCTAAGATGACTGGGTCTGCCCCCAACCCAAAAGATTCTGATTTAATGATCTGGACATGGGAGGTGGGAATGTTTTAAAAGCTCCCCAGCTGATTCTTCTGTGTAGTCAACATTGAGAACCACTGCTCTAAAACAATGATTTTTTAATCAGTATTACCTAGAGACTTTTTTTTTTTTTTGATCTGTACCTAGCCTTTCCTCCTAGTGATTGAATCAGAATCTCTGGGATTTGAGCCTCAACAATTAAAAGTTTTAAAAGCTTCCTCGGGTGAATAATTAGTAAATCTTTTTCTACCTTGTTATGATGGAAATTTCAAACATGTAGATAAATTAAAAACATAATACATTGAATACCTCTATATCCAACACCTAGACTCAACAATTGTTAATACTCTACCACATTTGCTCTGTGTGTGTATTTTTCCCCTGACCCACTTAACATGAACCACAGGTGTAAATTCCAGGATACCCAAAGTAGTTACCTACCATGAAATAACCCTCTAAACACAGGGCCGGTAACCTGGGAAACCCATGTTATGTCATGAATAACTGAATCTAAAGCTAACGATAGTATATCAAATAACATACACCTTAAGTATATTCAATTTTAGTCAATTATAACTGAATAAAGCTGAGAAAATAAAACAGAGATAAAAGAAACCTGAGAATAAGAGTTAGCCTGGCAGCTTTGAGCAGTTGATGTTTTCATATACTATTGTAACCGAACCTAGGTTTGGCTGCATGCCACTTGAAAGACGAGAGAATAGAGTTGCTGGAAGGAAAAGTAGATTTATTTGGAAAGCCAGCTAGATACTGAGCTAGCATTCTAAAGTAGCATCTGAAAATTTGCAGGCTGGCTGGAGGATTTTTATGGGAGAGGGCTATGGAGAAGAGGAGGGTTTTGGTATCAAGAGGTGAAACACAGTCATATGGGTACCAATGAGGGCCAGAGGAGGTTGGGTGCTTCTTTGTCATTGGTCAGGCCACAATACTTCCATAAATCTTTAACAAAACATAGTTGTTTACACACTTTTTAAATCCCAGAGTTTTAAAACCTACATGATTGCCGTTTTGGCATATTTGTGCTCTAAAATTATCCTTGCCTATTTGCAGGAATGGGGAAAGGCTGCCTAAAAAATGAAGTTATGTTCTTTTGCTTATTCACTGTTATACTATTACCTTTACATACTTACATATATGAGATGAATTGAGCTGCTGCCTGTTCTTAGAAATCTGTTCCTTTTAATACCTTTTATTACCCATAGGTCATGTAAGCACTAGTAAAATTATTTCTCCCACGTGGGTCTTATCCCTCAGTGCTGTTTTAACAGCCCTTATGCTCTGCATAGCCTTTAAATACTGCCTGTCTCCCCACTCCCTGGTTCTGACCCACTCCAGAGTATGTTAGAGTTGCCCATTTTTCCAATGATTGCTGTCCTTCTCAATAGATAATAGGCAATAGAACCAGACAGATAAACCTGTTATTGGAAGGACCTCAAGCCTAGGAGAAAGACTTTAACTTCCTCTGAATGAAGGTGGGACAGTGGATGAATCCAATCAGGAGGAAGGATTCTGCTCCACAGCTAATTCGAAGTCTGTTCATCAGTCATCAGCTGAAAACACAGGGGCCCCTTGGTCCTCAGGACAGATCCAAGAAGGTAATCAGGCAGTATACTAGAGGAGCAGTCTTTCTTCCATCCTTCACAGCCTTGCTTGAGGTTGATCAAATCAAGATTCACTCTCTACTAGCAGAGGACTATAGAAATCTCAGTCATCCTCACAGTTAATGAGCTATGTGCTTGTGTTTGGTACTGGGCGCCAATACAAATTTCCAGGCAACATGGAACAACTAACTTAACAAAACTGCTGACAGTTCTTTCATCTCTGGAGAACAGGCTGTCTGTTGTTGTCATCTTTTTTTTTTTTTTTTGAGACAGAGCCTCACTCTGTCACCCAGGCGGGAGTGTAGTGGCACAATCTCAGCTCACTGCAACCTCTGCCTCCTGGGTTCAAGCAATTCTCCTGCCTCAGCCTCCCAAGTAGCTGGGATTACAGGCTTGCGCTACCACACCTGACTGATTTCTGTATTTTTAGTAGATATGGAGTTTCACCATGTTGGCCAGGCTGGTCCCAAACTCCTGGCCTCAGGTGATCCGCCTGCCCAAAGTACAGACATTATGGGTGTGAGCCACTGCTTCTGGTTTTTTGTCATCTCTTAAACTAGTGCCTTTTCACCAGAAACAGTGGTCTCTGAAAGGACTGCCCATTTTTAACCAGAATCAACAGTGATTGATTTGCATTGAATGGTTGATTTGGACCTGGTGACTTATACATAAAGTATTCTGCATCAGATTATAAATTCCTTGAGACGCAGGATGGTCCCTTCGCTATTACATTCCCACTGCCTACCAAAGATTCTGTCTCGTAGGCCCAAGCTGATATTTATTTGTCCAGTATCTCCTGAGAGTCTTAATAAATTTTTTAATTTAACTAAATGCAAGAAATTTCTTCTATATAATTGCCATTTTCATATTACAAGTATTTTTTAAATATTGCTATGAAATATTTCTGATAAATTGCTCTTTGTTTATAATAGGCATTGAAAGTAAGACAAGCAGATATCACCAGAGAGACTGTTCAGAAAAGTGTCTGTGTTCTAAGCAAGCTGGTAAGAGAACAAGTAACTCATTCATTGTGTTAAACCTTCATGGCAGATCTTTCTTTAAGGATAAGGCACTATTAGAGTAAGAAGAGATTTAAATAATATATTAAAATTATTTATGCCCTAGCATCTCCTCATTCTCTTTCCCTTTTAGCAGTTTTCATTTGCACCTCTACGCAAGACTCAGTAGAAGGGAGATCTTATAGCTATTGGAAAGTAAGTTGATACGTAAACAAAATGAGGTAGCTGATATATTTCATTTATCCATTTTAGTTTTAACAAAATCTTCCTTTTTTTTTTTTTCCTTTTGAGACAGGGTCTCACTCTGTTGCCCAGGCTGGAGTGCAGTGGCATGACCTTGGCTTACTGCAACCTCTGCTTTCCAGGCTGAAGGGATCCTTCCACCTTAGCCTCCTGACTAGCTGGGACCACAGGCATGCACTACCATACCTGGCGAACTTTTTTCTATTTTTGGTAGAGATGAGGTTTTACCACATTGCCTAGGCTGGTGTCAAACTGCTGAGCTCAAGCCTTCCAAAGTTCTTGGATTGTAGCATGAGCCACCATGCTCAGCCAAAATCTTATTTCATCCAAAATAAAATTTTGAGGATGAGAATATTTCTTCTAAGACAGTAATTTTAAATATAAGCCAAGAATAGTCTCCTAGGAAAGGAATGGCTGTTATAAAGGACCCTAATGTTAGAAAATTGATAGATTATTCATCTGATCCCTATAAACAGCTTTGAGAAGAGTAGCCTGAAAAATATATATTAGAGAATTGCTTTTTTATACTGGACCAGATGACCGAAGCATAAGAGTACCAGATATTGAAGTACAACATGTTAAGAGGCTTCCTGAGTAATCATTCTTCAAAGGAACAATTACAATAATAGATGCCATTTATTGAGTGCCTATATATCAGGCATTGATTCTGTACCAGACACTTTTTATGTGTAATATTCATTTCCATTCTCATAACAACGTTGAGACATACTTACTACTGTTCTTATTTTATAAATAAAGACGTAGCTCAGAGAAAAAAATGTGTAATTCTACAGACATGTAACTGCTAAGTGATAAAATCGGGGTAAAAAAAAGTCAGTTTTATCTGTTGCTAAAACAGATACAAGGGATAAGAAGAGGGTAGCTTACTTGAAAGGTCTGGTTGTGGTTCTTCTGGTCTAGACTTCAATAAGTCTATGTATAAAAATAAAATGATTTTATACTTTGGAAATCATAATATATTAACAGGGATACTGGAAATACTCTTCCAATATTACTTGTTTTTCATTAATTAGAGTATATATACATAATTGGTCATTGCATCCTGCAATGGACATAGACATGAGAAAACATCTACAAAAGAACGCTGTAATAAAAAGATGAAAATGGTAGAAGATTAAATAGAGAAATAAGGATTAAGGGATAACTTTGCTCAAGTATATAAAACAGTATTATGATCAAGGACACAAGCTAGTTGTTGTAAGCCTCCACAGAGGATAAAAAAGGGAAATGAACTTAAATGTAATCATGAATGTTCAAATAGATATAAAAACAGGCTGCTATAAGGATGATTAAATGTTGCTACAGGCCAGCAAAACAGTGTGCAGAATTAGAATATGTTTTACATCATATAATAGTAACAGCTGATGTGTGGGTGCTTTCTTTGCGTCAGATACTTTTTACTGAGTGCTTTTACCTGTTGTTTAATCCTTAAAACAGACAAATATGATGTACTCTTTTCATATGCCCATGTTCAGATCAGCAAGCAGAGGTGGAGAGGGTTAAGTTCCCAGAGCTGAGTGATGGAGCCAGGCCCAGCAAGTCTGAGCCCACACTCTTAAGCACTGTACTGTGTTTCAGGTACTTTTCACTGTAGCCGAAGAACAGGTATCTTCATGGCTTTCAGCTATGAATAATACAGCACTAAAGTTGATAGTTACTAACTTTTTTTCTCCCTGTTCTATTCAAATTAGAAAGTTGTGGGGTTCTGTTTGTTTTACTATTATCAACCTAATGGTAATTTCTTTATTCCTTTAAGCCTCTTTATGGCTTACTTCAAGCGAAACTTCAACTCATTACACATGCATATTTCGAAGAGAAGGATTTTTCCCAAATTTCCATTCTAAAGGTAACTTGTTACCCCTCTATATATGTGTTTGGCTAAAGATAGACTCATGAATCAAGTAAATATTGTCAGTAACACTGTGAAGGATAATTATTTATTAGCTTAAGAAAGACATTCTGTGAATACACATTTGCATTAAAACGTTGAAGGACAAGAATCTGCCCAAATACTAAATTTAACCAAACTTGCTTTTCTTTTTTCTTTTCTTTTTTTTTTAAGGAAATAATGACTACAAATAACTGTAACAGTAATGCTTCTCTTAGTGGATAATGGCCCTTTTGCCATGGCATTAATTCTATAAATTTGCTTATCAATAAACTGCACAGTATTTTTATATATCAGGCTTCCCATTCCTACCTCCCAATACATAGACCAGAAAAGCCATATTATTATTTTATTGAAAATGGACTAGCAAGGAAGCAGAGGGAATTTATACTAGGAATTCATACCACTATGTGAATGAATCATGCTCTAACATGTAGAAGGAGAAAGGAATACCCTGAGTAGCTTTTCATACTCACTACCCACATCTCTTCTGATATTGTTCATATCCGGAAGAGAAGAAATGAGAACTGGCAAGGTTGCAGAGAGGCTTGATTGTCTTTAAATTTAGTGCCTAGCAGAACAAACTACCTCAGTTAAGGAACCAACTTTTTTCTGATCAACATATTTCTAATTCAGATCCAAAATGATAGTAAAATGTGCTAAATTCAATCTATATTTTATAGGAGCTTTATGAACATATGAATAGTTCCTTGGGAGGAGCTTCATTAGAAGGATCCCAAGTATATCTTGGTAAGTAATTGACCTACAAGTTAAAAGAGATTCCCTCATTTCTTTTTGTTTAGCAAACCGAGTTGCATGTAAAACTTTGATTAGAATTTTACATCTCTCTATGGGATCTAAATTCAACATTTGATGCTGTTTCTTCCTTAAATATATTCTTTGCCAGTGTTTATACTAAGAAGGGTATTAGAACAAAGCAGATTTACAACTTTTAATGTACAAGGCAAATTTCTGCTTTTTTTTTTTTTTTTTTTTTTGGAGACAAAGTCTCACTCTCCCAGGCTGGAGTGCAGTGGTATGATCATGACTCACTGCAGTCTTGACCTCCTGGACTCAAGCAATTCTCCTAGCACAGCCTCCTAAGTAGCTGGGACCGCAGGTGTGCATGCCAGGACTCCCAGCTAATTGTTTTTATTTTTAGTAGGGACAAGATGTCCCTGTGGTGCCCAGGCTAGAATTTCTACCTTTTAGGATAGTAATGGAAGTTTTATATTGTTTTTTCTTTTCCTTGCATTAAAGCTAACTAGCTTGATTTCCTGCCATAACAGATGAAGCAAGAGAGAGAGCTCCTCAGCTCTTTTCTATTCTAAGATTCTTCAGGTTGTGGATTTTATTTCATTTATACTAGCTTGACAACTCAAAATATCCATTGGTAGCCAAGACATTCAATGGGCAACTCAATAAATATTATCCATTTTGTGATTAAAACTTTTAATCACATAGTGGTTTATGTTCACTCAGTTCTAATTTCAGCATGCAGTTATCAATTGTGGTAGTTTATGATTGCAATCGTATGTATAATGTAAACTATTATTCTGCATAATATGAGGTCCTATTCTGGGAACACGTTTCTTTAAATTATTTTCTCTTGTACTGTGTTCTTTCAGATAGATGATAGAAAAGACAGTGTTTCAGAAATAATGACATATGAAGTGCCATGACCAAAACCATGTTTAATCATTGATTGCCATGATACTATAAGCTATATCATTTCTAAACGTGTAGTTTATGTTTGTAGAAGAGGGAAATGTGTTAGACCTGCATAGTCCAAAACAGTAGCCACTAGCTACCTATAGCTGTCTATATTTAGATTAAAATTAATAAAATTTAGGGCCAGGCATGGTGGCTCAATACTGTAATCCCAGCACTTTGGGAGGCCGAGGTGGGTGGATCACGAGGTCAAGAGATCGAGACCATCCTGGTCAACATGGTGAAACCCCGTCTCTACTAAAAATACAAAAAATTAGCTGGGCATGGTGGCACGTGCCTGTAATCCCAGCCACTCAGGAGGCTGAGGCAGGAGAGTTGCCTGAACTCAGGAGGCGGAGGTTGCAGTGAGCTGAGATCGCGCCATTGCATTCCAGCCTGGGTAACAAGAGTGAAACTCTGTCTCAAAAAAAAAAAAACTAATAAAATTTAAGTCAATTTGTCTCAGTCACACATGCCACATTTCAGTTGCTCAGTAGCCACATGTGGCTACTGTATTGGACAAGACAGGTTTAAAATATTTTCATCCTTGCAGAAAGTTGTACTGAACAGCACTCTTTCTGAGTATATGTGTACCTAATCAAATAGTACATAAATATTTGAGTCTTTGCATATTTCTACTTTTTTAAAAACCTTAAGAGGAAAATAACTTTTCTTCAGCAAAAACATTACATTGTTGTCACAGTTTAGCTTTTTTGTTAACATTGTAGGTCTGTCACCTCGAGATCTTGTCCTTCATTTTCGGCACAAGGTATGGTACCTTACTTAAATAAATTTATGATGTGTAATAAATAGCCACCGCTGTTCTTAGTGTGCTCATTTAACTGCCAAATTCAGTTGTGCTAAATTGAATGCAGATTGTGGTATACCATGCCTTAGTTCTAAGATGTACTTGGTCTCATAACTAAACAAAGTTAGAAGAGTTGGTAGTGCTTTGCATCATAGAAATTTAAAAAGAGTACAAATACTGTTTACTTCCTTGTAGAATAGGGTAATTTTTTCTATTGTTTTTTGCAATTTCATCTATCATGAGATTAGAGTGGAAAGAAATATGTTTTGATCTTGCAGAATATTTTATATGTTGCCCTGAGAATGGAGCATTTTTCAGTAAAACATCTGTACATACCTATACCTTCTGATCTTTATTATTAAAGCAGATGTTGGCTAGGATATAAACATGTTGTTTATTTAACAAACATTTACTGAGCACCTGCTATGTGGACACTCTGGATATCCATAAATATTTATTTAAAGGTCAGGATACCCTGACCTTTAAATACTTATAAATACTTCAAGCAAAAATGGTACCACCCCTTCAAGAAAAAATAATTTCAGTTAGCGATTTCAGTGATTCTCACATTTTTAAGAGTACACAGGTAATATTTAATTTCTCAGTGTAAGTTCATGATTTTTCATGTACTTTAAAAATGCTGTAATTATTTAGTATTGATTATGGCTATGTTTTGGGAAAAAGATGAATTATAGGCTTGAGTTGCTCATTTCAATAAAATATTTTTTTCCTTTTTCAGGTCTTAATCCTATTTAAACTAATTCTTCTTGAAAAAAAGGTAAGATCCTAAGGGATGAAAGGAAAGATGGAGTATTTAACTTTTATTGACTTTTTTTACATTATTTCATAAAATTGATAAAGTATTAAGATACTTTTTGCCTATCATGTGGTGATCTAAAGCACATTTTCTTGTCTCGGCTATAGAAGCGTAAATTCATATGGCCTTTCTGGAGGCAACAGAAAACTCCATTTTAAACTGACTTAAATGAAAAAGGACATGTATTGGCTCACGTTAGATTTCAGGGTTGTTTGACTCGGTGGCTCCATAGTGTAACTAAATGCCTAAGTTTTTTCTATCTCTTTGCTGTACAGTGTGCAGTGCTGGCTTTTTCCAGAGCCTAGTTTCCCTGGTAGTATAGGGAACTGCCAACAGTAATTGGGTTATTTGCTCCCTCAGTCGTAACTGTCGGCAGGAATAATACCTCCTCCTAAACAATTTAATAAGAATTCTTGGCCGAGCGTGGTGGCTCATACCTGTAATCCCAGCACTTTGGGAGGCTGAGGCGGGCAGATCACTTGAGGTTAGAAGTTTGAGAACAGACTGGCCAACATGGTGAAACCCTATCTCTACTGAAAATACAAAAATTAGCCGGGTGTGGTGGCAAGCAACTGTGTAGTCCCAGCTACTCAGGAGGCTGAGGCAAGAGAATTGCTTGAACCCAGGAGGAGGAGGTTGCAGTGAGCCAAGATCGCAACACTGCATTCCAGCCTGGGTGACAGAGCGAGACTGCATCTCAAAATAAATTAAAAAATATGTATTCCTTCACACAGAAAAAAAAAAAGGAAAGTTTTTTTTTTTTTAATGAACCCACCATATTAGTGTGGTGTTTTAAAAAATTTTTTTTAATTTCTAAAAATTTGATAAAATACACATAACATACAATTTATTATCATAGCCACTTTAAGGTGTACAATTCAGTAGTGTTAAGTACATTCACATTATGCAGCCATCATCCCATCCAGCCACAGAATACTTTGAATTTCTTTTCATTTTTTGAGACAGGGTATTGCTCTGTTGTCCAGGCTAGAGTGCAGTGGTGCATTTATGGCTCACTGCAACTCTTAACTCCCAGGCTCAAGCAATTCTGTCACCTCAGCCTCCTGAGTAGCTGGGACCACAGTGCTGGGATTACAGGCATGAGCCAACACTTTCAGTCTATATTTCTTTATATATGTTCATTTTTTTCCCCTGAGTCAAAATACCTTGGAAGTAATTTGTAGCATTATGGTATTTCACCCCTAAATACTTCAGGTTATATTTCTTAAGAACAAGGATATATTCCTACATAAGCAAAATACCATTTTCACATTCAAGAAATTTAACATTGAGATGAGAGAAATCTGACATACAGTCCATTTGCAAATTTCCCCAGATGTCATAATGTCCTTTGTAGCTAATTATTGTTTTCTTTTTTAAAAAAATTATTTAATTTTTTATTTTAATGAATAGAGATAGGGTCTCGCTATGCTGCCCAGGATGGTCTTGAACTCCTGGCCTCAAGCAGCCCTCCTGCCTCGGCCTCCCAAAGTGCTAGGATTACAGGCATGAGCCACCACACCTTGCCTGATTATTGTTTTCAATCTGGGATCCAGTCAAGGATCATGTACGCTAGCTTTCTTTTATTTCAAACAGTTCTGCCACCTCTCTTTTTTTGTTTGTTTTTTTTCTATATTTTATGAGACTGTCATTTTAAAAATAATCCAGACTGGTTTTCTGGGTGAGATTTGTTTGTTTTCTTGTGGCTAGTTTCAGATTAAAACTTTTTAGCAAGAATCCTACACAGGTAGTGGTGTGTCTCTGTCAGGACATGATATTAGGAGACCTGTAACTATTTGTAGTAGCACTATTGGTGATGTGAAGTTTGCTCATTTGATTGAGGTGGTGATTGCCACTTTAATAGGTAATCTATAGAATGATAAATTTCAGACATTGTGAATATAATATTTTGTTGCCAAGCAACCTTTCGTGTAGTTTTAGCATTTGTTGGGAATGTGTACCTAAATCATGGTGGATGCTAAATGGTGATTTTTTTCTATCATTACTTCTATGTTTATTAGCTGTTATTCTTATATAAAGAATTTTTCCCTTTTTTAATTTGATCATTATGGATTGCTTCATGGATTTTCTAATTTGATTTTGATTTACTCCATTTCAGGTTCTTTTTTATATTTCTCCAGTGAATAAATTGGTGGGTGCATTGATGACTGTGTTATCCCTTTTTCCAGGTAAGAAAACAGCAGTATCTACTCTTTCTTTTGTTTAACTTATACTGAAACTTAAACTTTCAGCAATAAAATTTTCAAAGATAAACTCATTAAGGTTATCATTTCTAATTTAATATGACATTTTCCTTTTAGAAATAAGTTTCTCTCTTTTGTCTAGGTTTCTCTTCTTTTTGTTTTTAATTGAAATGTATGCAAGCTTATTCAGTTTTATAGGAGAGTCTACTAATAAAATATATAGCTCTTATTTTCTTCTCTATTACAAGCCAAGCTATTCTCCAATATTGCATGTTTTAGGCATGATTGAACATGGTCTCAGTGACTGTTCTCAGTATAGACCCCGGAAGAGTATGTCTGAAGATGGTGGGCTTCAGGAAAATAACCCACGTGCAGATGGTTTTGTTTCTGCATCCACTTCTGACATTTCACATACCAACTTGGAAACTGTCCGGAGAGTAATGGCAGGAAACCATGGAGGAGAGGCTGTCATGAAGACTGAAGAGCCTTTGCTCCAAGGAGAAGACAGCAGCAAAGGGCAGGAACCCAATGATACCAATCAATATTTGAAACCTCCATCTCGCCCATCTCCAGAGTCTTCAGAAAGTGACTGGGAAACTTTGGATCCTAGTGTTTTAGAGGACCCCAATTTGAAAGAAAGGGAACAGCTGGGATCAGACCAGACAAACTTATTTCCAAAGGACTCTGTCCCCTCAGAGAGTCTTCCAATTACTGTACAACCTCAAGCTAATACAGGGCAAGTGGTCCTGACACCAGGGCTCATTTCCGGTTTGGAAGAGGATCAGTATGGCATGCCCCTGGCCATCTTCACAAAGGTAAAGTGTAATGTTTATTATTGAATTCCTTAAATAATTTGAAAAATCCTTTTAGAGTATAACTTTTGAACTTTTGGTATTCAACACATTTTCAGGTGGAAAATTTTCCTTGAAACTGTAAAATGCATACCAACTATATGGTACCGTTGCATCTGTGGCCATTGTATAAGTCTGTAGGGAAGTACAGGGAATTTTGATTGGTAAATGTTTTGAAACTTAGTAGATGTGAGTCACATGCACAGTCACTGTCTTGGGTCTATTTTAATTATTAAGGTTTCTCCTTAAAGAATTAAGGAAGTTCAGAAACCCTTGATTGCACTCAATAAATACAGGCATACCTCCGAGATAATATGGTTTAGTTGCAGAACACTGCGATAAAGTGAGTCTTAGGAATTTTTCTGTTTCCAAGTGCATATAAATGTTATAGTATAGTGTAAATATAACACTATACTATAGTATATTGTGTGCTGTAGCAATAGGTCTTTTTTTTAATGTACATATCTTAATTTAAAAATACTTTAGGCTGGGCATAGGGGCTCATGCCCGTAATCCCAAAACTTTGGGAGGCTGAGGCAGAAGGATCACTTGAGGCCAGGAGTTTGATTCACCAGATGTGGTAACTCATACCTGTGGTCCCAGGTACTTGGGAAGCTGAGGTTAGGAGGATCAGTTGAGCCCGGGAGGTTGAGGATACAGTGAGCTATGATCACACCACTGCACTCCAGACTGGGTGTCAGAGGGAGACTCTCTTATTTTTTAAATAATGTTTATTATTTAAAACTTAATAATTATTTTAAAAACAAAGTGAATAAAATTTAAATAATTGTGTAAAAGTACACTAAAGTGAAGTACAATTATTAAATAATTTTTAATTTGTTATTTAAATATAAATGAATAAAACTCCTTTGTTGTCATTGTAACAACAGTCACATCTTCACCAGGAGTAGACTCCATCACAAAAAACCACTCTCCTTATTCATTCATAAGAAGCAGCTCCTCATCCATTCATGTTTTATCATGAGATTGCAGCAGTTCAGTCACATTTTGAGATTCCACTTCTAATTCTCTTGCTGTTTCCACCGAATCTCCCCCAAAGACTTGAACCCCTCAAAGTTATTCATGAGAGTGGTATCGACTTCTTTCAAACTCCTGTTTATGTTGATATTTTGACCTCCTCCTCTGAATCACAAATGTTCTTAATGGCATCTAGAATAATGCTTTCCAGAAGATTTTCAGTTTACTTTGCCCAGATCCATCAAAGGAATCAGTATCCATGGCAGCTATAGCCTTATGAAATGTGTTTCTTAAATAATAAGACTTGAAAGTCAAAATGACTCCTTGATCCATGGGCTCCCAAGTGGATGTTTCTCCTTGTATCTCTTCATTAGAGCTCTTTTTTTTTTTTTTTTTTTGAGACTGAGTTTCGCCCTTGTTACCCAGGCTGGAGTGTGGAGTGCAATGGCGCGATCTCGGCTCACCGCAACCTCCGCCTCCTGGGCTCAGGCAATTCTCCTGCCTCAGCCTCCTGAGTAGCTGGGATTACAGGCACGTGCCACTATGCCCAGCTAATTTTTTGCACTTTTAGTAGAGACGGGGTTTCACCATGTTGACCAGGATGGTCTCGGTCTCTCGACCTTGTGATCCACCCGCCTCGGCCTCCCAAAGTGCTGGGATTACAGGCTTGAGCCACCGCGCCCGGCCATTAGAGCTCTTAAATGACCATGTGCATTGTCATGTGCAGTAATATTTTGAAAGGAATCTTTTTTTGTTTTCTTCTGAGTGGTAGGCCTTAAATATTCAGTAAACCATGCTGTAAAGAGATATGCTGTCATCTAGGCTTTGTTGTTCCATTCTGGAGCACAGGCAGGAGATTTAGCATAACTCTAAAGGGACCTAGGATTTGGGGAATGGTAAATGATGGCGTCAGCTCGTTCTTGAAGCTTTGAAGCCAGGCATTTACTTCTTCTCTACCTACAAAAGTCCTAGATGGCATCATCTTCCAATAGAAAGCTGTTTTGTCTTTATTGAAAATCTTTTGTATTCAAAATCTGTAACCACCTTTATTAAGGACCTTAGCCAGATCTTCTGAATAACTTGCTACATCTTCTGTATCAGCACTTGCTCCTTCACCTTGCACTTTTGTGTGATAGAGGCAGCTTCTTAAACATTGTGGGCTAACTCTGGTTTCATACTTCTGCATCTTCTCACCTCTTTCAGCTTTCATGGAATTAAAGAGAGTTAGGGCCTTTCTCCAGATTAGGCTTTGGCTTAAGGAAATCTTCTATCTGGTTTTTGATCTTCTATCCAGATCACTCAGACTTTCTGCTTATCAGCAATAAGGCTGTTGTTTCACTTTTTTACCATTTGTGAGTTCACTGGTAAAAAAAAAAGTATGTTTAGTAGCACTTTTAATTTCCTTCAGAAACTTTTTCTTCGCATCAACAACTGGGCTGTTGGGTGCAAAAGGCATAGATTTCTGTCTGTCTCAGCTTTCGACATGCCTTTTAAGTTAGTCTTTTCTAGCTTTTGATTTTGAATAAGATGTGAGACTCTTCCTTTTACTTAGACCCTTAGACGCCATTGTAGGGTTGTTAATTGGCATAATTTAAATATTGCTGCATCTCAGGGAATAGGGAGGCCTGAGGAGAGGAGAAGAGACAGGAATGGCCAGTCAGTGGAGAAGTCAGAACACACATAATATTTATTAAATTTGTTGTCTATGTGGGTGTGGTTCATGTCACCCCAAAACATTTACAGTAATAACATCAGAGATCACTGATCACAGATCAACATAACAAATACAATAATAAGGAAAACTTGTGAGATATTGTGAGAATTACTGAAATGTGACAGAAACAGGGAAATGAGCACAGGCTGTTGGAAAAATGGCACTGACAGACTTGCTAGTTGCAGGATTGCCATAAACCTTCAATTTATAAAAAGCACAATAAAGTGAAGTAAAATAAAAAGAGGTGCCTATATATCTTAACATACTATAATTTTAAAAGAAAAAAGCTTAGATGTCTAACATATCCCTTATAAGTGATGTAAGTTATATAAGTAATTAGTTATGTAAGTGATATGTTATAACTAAAATAAGTATACATATGTATTTACTAAGTATATTTAATACATATACTTAAGTGTACTTAATGTATTAGTTAACTTCATTTGGATATAATAGTGTTTTGGCTAAATGTGTTCTAACACTATCTTTTTATAAAAATCATTCAGAATGTATTTGAAATTTTTAAATAACTTAAACGCGATATAGTAAATCAAATTGAATCTTTAAATCACATCTTCTCAGGACATCATTTCTTAATGTCAATAATGCATTAAGATGAAACAGTCAACTTCACTGGATCAAAAGTTACACTGGACTGGACATAGCATCTCACACCTGTAATCTCAGCATTTTGGGAGGCCAAGGCAGGGAGGATTGCTTGAAACCAGGATCTAGAAACCAGAATGTTCAACAAAGCAAGACCTCATCGCTACAAAAAAGTAAAATAAATTTTCTGGTGATGATGGCATATGCCTATAGTCACAGCTACTTGGGAGGCTGAGGCAAGAGGATCTCTTGAGCCCAGGACTTTGAGGCTGCTGTGAGCCATGACTGTGCCGCTGTACTCCAGCCTCAACTTTGGACTTTAGAGTAAGACCCTGTGTGTATATAAAAATAAAGTACACAGATGCTGAGACATATTCTGGAAGCTACATCGTTTGGATGTTTTGTTTTTCATCCTTTGTAGAGTACTTTTATTACTATTTGTGAATTGTTTTTCAAAGCAGAGCAGGAAAAAAATAATCTATTTCATTTATTATTCTGTAAGTACAGTTATCCCTCATTATTCATGGGAGACTAGTTCCAGGAACTTTCCCCATACCAAAATTTGAGAATGTTCAAGTCACTTATATAGTGGCTGGCATAGTATTTGTATATAACCTGTCCACATCCTCCCATAATGACTTTTTTTTTTTTTTTTTTTTGAGATGAAGTCTCCCTCTGTCACCCAGGCTGGAGTGCAGTGGCAGAACAACCTTGGCTCACTGCAGCTTCCACCTCCCAGGTTCAAGCAATTCTCCTGCTTCAGCCTCCTAAGTAGCTGGGAATACAGGTGCCCACCACTACGCCCAGCTAATTTTTGTATTTTTAATAGAAACAAGGTTTCACTATGTTGACCAGGCTGGTCTGGAACTCCTGATCTCAGGTGATCCACCCACCTCAGCCTCCCACAGTGCTGGGATTACAGGCATGAGCCACTGTGCCTGGCTTCTTCTGAATACTTTAAATCACCTCTAGATTATTTATAAAACCTAATACAATGTAAATGCTATGTGAATAGTTATGCTGGGTTTTTTAAATTTTGTATTACTATTTTTCTCAACATTTTTAATCCAAGGTTGGTTGAAGCTGGTATGTGGAACCCACAGATGTGGAGCACCAGCTGTATTTATTGATCTTCCATGTGCCAGTCACCTTACTAGATTCTGAATTCCTGCCATCTGTGATCTTGCAGTGTACCATGAAAGGCAGATGCACCACCTTACTGGTTACTAGAACAAAATATTCTCTTTTCCCTGAATACTGTCTGGTATCCACGAAGTAAAACTTTCCGTGGAAAAGAGAGATGGGTAGTGTTGGCTTAAACAGTGTATTTATTACTCTCCTATATTCTTCAATAAATTCTCTGAGTTTACCCAGCTTTGCAAAAATGTACTTGCCCATAGTCATTATGGGTGAATAGTTAGTATAGAATGCCATCTTTGTTCATTTTGTGACCTGCTTGGGATTCTGAAATTATCTTAACTGATTTCATGATAATGCTATTTCTTAAAACTGGAATTTAAGAATTTGGGGAGAAAACTCACGTTTCTCAGACTACTGGTAAAGCAAGTAGCCACAAATTATGGGCTTTCTGAACTGTGTTATGACTTCCTGTACCTTTTGGAGCCCTGACTTTGCTGTTTCACCCACTTGACCTCTAATTTTTACT